AATGATGATGTATTGTTGCATATGAAGTCATATTGAGTACATTCATGAAAATGGCTTTTGAATATCTGAACGGTATTGTTATTATCTTGAATGCCGATGTATTTGTTCTTAAAAATAAAAAAAATAAAAAAAAAATAAAAAAAAGAGCAGAATGATGATATTATCTTGAATGTACAAGGGAAAATCGATTCCTTAGTGGGGGATCCAATGGGTACTGGGTGGGGCGCTTCCTCGTAGTGTCGCTGGAACATCGTAAGGTGTACTAAGAACCCACCTAGGAGAAGGGAACTCCGAATATAAACCGGGGGTCTCTAGGGTTTGCAGCCCGGGGGTCCCGCAAATCTATACGCAATGAGTCCACAAAGAAAGAAAAAGGTCCTGGGACCTGATTCCCAGCCTTGTATAGAGAGCGGTGAGGGAAATGCGGCTAGCGGACGATTGGACCTTATCTATCCTGGCAAAGAATGTCCCGTGTGTGAGAGTGGGGGGGCGTTTCTCACCTACGTTGCCCTGATCCATCACATTGAGGAGGTTCACTGCCCTGGAGCTGTTAGGTGGCTGTGTGGTAAGTGTAGGAAAGTACTTAGTAGTGTCAGGAGTGCCGCCAGCCATTATAGTGCCTGTCTGGGAAGTAGTAGGGGAGAAGGTCAACATCGGAGTGTAGAAGTTCAAGACCTCGACCCAGCGGGTACTAGTTCCAGGGGCAGTAGTGACTTTGACAACAACAAGAGAGTGGGTATACCATCTGACGAAGGGAATGTTGAGCAGTGTGCGGTGGATAGTGGTATTGTTCCATCTCGAGGGGTCACTGATTCCATCCAGGGAGGGGCCTATTATGAGTGTGCAATATGCTCTAAGAGGTTCCGGACCAACACTGGGTTGGGGGTGCATAAACAAAGGGTCCACCCAGTGGAGTACAATAGGGATATCCCACCTTTGAAGCGCCCAAGGTGGTCTATAGATGAAATGCGGGTTATGGCCGTAGCAGAGCTAGAGATGGAGTCCGGGGTACGAAATGTCAACGAACTGATCGCTCAGAAGCTTGAGGGAAGGACAGTAGAGGCCATTAAGAAGCGACGGCAGACGAGGGAGTACAAGTTGATCCTGGAGGAGGTAGCGAAGGAACATCCGGCTGAGCATGGTGGGACTCCTACGTTAGTTGTGGAGAAGCCTACGTCGAGGGTGGAGTCTACTATGTTGGAGGGACTGCTGGAGACGCTTGAGGAAGAAGTTAGTAGTGGGGATGAGGCGTTTATGAAGGCAGTCACAGGGTCACTTGTAAGGGGAGAGATTACGCTGTCGCAACATCTCCAGGCCTTCCT